GTCAGTTATGCAGAACAGATACCACTGGGTAAATTTTTTTTGCAGTTTTGCTGATCTTCTGGGTTTATCTGAAATTTTAACAAGTTAAATAGTATCAGTCGGTTTTGCCGACAGATGTATACTCCCAGCCTTGAGTTATGATTATTCTAAATGTTGACTCTTTATGGAGATGTTCTGAAGCAGTTGGCCAATATTGTCCAGTTCGTTTATGACCTAAATTTGATACAACATTCCATATTTGGACTATATCGTCTACTTCCTATATTATATATGATGTATGTGCATATTCCGATGAATTACAAATTCATATCACATTTCTGGCAAAGAGAAATATTTTGAGATAGCAAATTGTATAGAATCGCCGACTTGTTTCACAAATTAGGATAGATATAGGTATTGACAATTGCGACACTTTGTGGGTGTGGTATCAGAAGGGGTTGACAAATATCTATCATCTTCACAACAGATTTTGCGCTAGCAAACATGTTTGAATGTATCAAGTTTGAAGAGAGTTGGAGGCTTATTTGGCTTTTTGTTTTTCAAAATTTTAAACCCTATGTGGGGGGAACTACTAGAAGGAGTCCACCAATATATCCCATGTCCACAGCAGATCTTATGTTGATAGAAATATTGAGATGTACCAATTCTGAATGGAATCGGACTTTAATTTCACGTTTTATGAGTGAGGGAGGTACCAGAAGGAATGGTCCGATCTCTACCATAGCATTTATAACAGATCTTGTGTTGATGGAAATATTGAGATGTGCCAAGTTTGAATGGAATCGGGTGTTAATTGTGCGTTTTAGGAGCGTTATGGATATTCAAAATTAGGACGCTTCACTTCACATCAGACCTTGGGTTAATAACATAACGCTGTGTGTAAGGCAATCGGACTCTTACATCATAATTATTCAAAATTTTGATCATTTTGGTCATTTTCGCACCTAAAATGTTAATTGTATTGCATGACTTTACCTTCTTAATTCTTCCATGGTAGCATGTTAGAACATAAATACGGATATAGATTTTTTAAAAGTTGTAAATACGTTGTTCTTTCTTTCACTACTTGCAACGGAAGTGAAAATCACCCCCAGCACCCTCCCCAAAATGTTAATGAAAAAGTAAGTTTATATGTAATGGATATTACACAAAGATACAATACCTATGTTATTTTGACTTTTGGTTTTTATGCTACGTCCACCTTACTTTGTGGCACCTATTTCCGTTTCGGGCAAAACATATCAAAAATCTTTATTTTTCTATAGAGAATAGAGAATACTTACTTGCTCCGAAACTCCCCTTGCCTAGGGGTGGGTTTTTTTTTTGTTTCACGAAATAAAACTTTTACGAAAATTGAAGTGTATTGGTCTGAAGTCGGTTTTCGGCTGAAACAAGGGAGATTTTTTTTGGTTCTTTTCTTTTAAAATATACAATTTTTAATTCATTCAATTGTTTTTTACAGATTCGTCTGATGATTCTCTTGGTATTTAACTGTTTTTTTTTTTCTTTTTTTTTACAATGATCCATTATTTGAAAGGCAATGTGAGAAATTTTGTACAGGTTTTCCTGAAACCCCCATTATTCTTATATTTCTTTCACACTTTTTTTCATTTTCATTAAAATCCCTATGAAATGCCAAAGATTTAACGACCAGCGAAGTGTAGAACAATAAAATCCCTTTTGTCATAAAATTTTAACCCTTAAATGCCACCCAAAATTCGGCAATAAAATACGTTCTATAAAAACCTTATGGAAAGAGGTACCCAAAGATAAGGGTGGTAAATGAAATTACCAGAATATATAAACGTAGTAGTAGCAGGGCAATGAACTTTTATTTCCAATAATAAAAAAAGAAACAAATATAAAATGTGGACTACTGAAACGGGGTCAGTAGATCAACAGTCGATGATAAAAGCTATCAATTATATGAATAAAAAAAATCAACAAAGAAATAAATATTTTGGCAATACATATTTATTTTAATTTTTATTTCCAATTTCGTATTTTTTTCTAAGCTAATGCATATCAAAAAAATCACTGATACTTAGCTTATAACAGGAATTTTATTTTCCAAAATCTGATTTGCAATGTAAACCTCAACTAAAAGTCGGCGTAACTTTCTCAAATCAATCAATCTTCCTTTAATCATGATTCATATTATTAATGACTGTATTTGTTGTAATTGTACGTTTTAATAAAAATAATTTGTAAATTGCGTTCATTAATAACGACCATTACATTTCCTCAATCGTATGGTTTAAGTTATTTGGCAAGATTAAATAGAAATCATGGTCAAGATGTAAAAGAAACTAGAAATCGAAATTATCCTTACAAGCGGACTATTCGAAAGTGTGCGACGATATAATACATTTTCTGTACCAATGATATTGTGAAATATATCTCAAAATATAGGTCAAAACTTTTTATACCCTCAGCCATATGGCTAAAGTGGGTAAATATCATTTGATACGCCAAAATCGTGTCTCATGGTAATAACGGGTTTAGACGCTAAGTCTCTATGGACAAAAGCCATTTCAGGACATTTGGATTCGATCTAGTTATGTCCATTCGAAAGGAGTATACGACTTGGTCCCAATTTGTTACACCGCCATATTATTATCAAACAATGGACAACATCGACCACTCCTTCTGGTACCCCTCCAACAACTTTCACAATTTTCAAATAAAATAATTAACCTGATATATAGTGAAAGTATCATTGAATTTTGAGCAAACGTTGTACATCCCTATATATTTGTCAGTGTTAAGTTAGGTGGGAAAATGGACAAAATTAAGCCAATCCATCAAATGCCTCCCCGAAAAAAGCGTCAAAATTGGGAATAAAAAACTGAAATAAATGTCGGGTTGTATTCAAATGGCATACATCCCAATATTTCTTCCAACACAAGATCTGGTCTGAATATGGCAAATATCGGATCACTCCATCAAGAACCTCCGCAACGAAGAGTCTGATTTTCAAATGATTATATTTATTACAAAATGAGAAATAAGAGTCCGATTATCTTAAAATTTCACACATTCCAATATTCTTGAGAAGATCTGGTATGAAAGTGTAACATATCGGTTTGCTCATTCTGGTTGGTACCTCCCCCAATAAAAAATAACTGGTGTGAAGATAGAATATATAGGGCCACTTCTTCCACGATATTTCTATGCTATATCTGATAGTTGACTCCAAATATCGTTATTGTGGAGAGCATTTTAGTTGTGTGGGGGACCTACATACAATATCGGATGAAACATACGAGAGACATTATTCACCGGAATTGTTTCAAATTTTGTATTTGAAGTTCCTAACAGGTACTACAATCTATGACTGATTTTGTCTATTGTCTATAGTTTACGTATAGCCCTCATTACACGGTAATGGGGTACCATTACGGTACATTCGTATATTCTGTATTTTTATGATTCTAGCAAAATTATTTACCGGATCTGTTCAAATTTCGTATTTGAAGTTTGTAATGAGTACTACAGCCTATGACAGAAAATCGCAAAAGCAGGTCCATGTCTTCGTATAGCCCCATATAACGTTACCTCCCTATTCGGTATTTTTAAGATTTTAGCAACATTATTTTCCGGATCTTTTTCAAATTTCGTATTTGAAGTTTGTAATGGGTACTACAGCCTATGACAGAAAATTGCATAAGCGGGTCAATGTCTTCGTATAGCCCCCATATAACGGTACATCCCTATATTCGGTATTTTTATGGTTTCAGCGACACTATTTACTGGAATTGTATTTGAATTTCGTATGGGTATTACAGCCTATAACAAAAAATTGTCTATGCAGGTCCAGGTCTTCGTATAGCCCCTAAATATCGGTACCTCCCTTTATTCGGTATTTTGCTGATTTTAGCTACATTATTCTCCGGAAGTGTTTCGTATTTGCACTTTGAAATGGGTACTACAGTTTGTGACAGAAAACTGCCTATGTGAGTTTACGTCTTCGTATGGACCCAAAAAAAGCGGTAATACTCAATATTCGTTATTTTTAAGATTTTAACAGTATTTTTAATGAATTCTATTATTTATTTATATTTTTTTGAAATTTTCAAAAATTCGTTCCAAATGTAGCGGAGGATATTCAAAGTTCGTTCCGGCCCGAACGTTCTGCTTTTTAACTTGTTAATATAAATTTGTATATGTCGGTTAGAATTTATAATTCTCAAATAATCCAATACCCAATACATACATACGTTTGGGAAGTTCTGTATTTATCTTCTAAATCCCAGACACAACTATTTATTTTCCCTCCAAAAATTCTAATTCGGTGTTAGGTGTTTTGTTGTAATTTTCGGTACCTTGCTCTTCTACGCGCCAGACAAATCATTACCAGCGCCCTCAATTGTTAGAAGGTAATAAATAATATATGTACATACATTTGTACTCTCATACCTACATACCTACTGAAAATAACAAACCCCAACATCAACAGTTATTACCCTCCGCAACGCTACAAAATATATATTATCAATATTAGTTATGTATCTACGGATGTAAGTCGATGTACATTTGTATATATATATATGTACATCTTATAAACATTTGTAGTTATGTATGTATGTGTGCATGCATATTATAATAATAATAATCATCATCATCATCGCACATACACTTTACACATTATTTATGTGTTTTTCATTTTGTTTGTTGTTGTTTTTATTTTCTATTCATTTGTTTTGTTTTTATTCATATAGGTATAAAAATAACAACAAGAAACAAATATAATAAACAAAACCCATAGCCAAATAATTGTTTTTTACCCATTCTTCTTGCACTTGTTTCTGCTGCCGCTGCCGTTGTTGTTGTTGCTTTTTAGCTGCAATTTTACTTTGTTTTGTTTTTTTGTGTTTTTTTCATTTTATTCCCCTGTATGTGTTTGGCTGTGTTTTTGCCTTCTGCCTTTTGTGTGTTTTGTGTGTCTTTTCTTTTTTTGATTTTCTTGTTTTTGTTGGGGGACTTGAACGTTCCGTTCGTAGCAGCTGTGAATTTAGTTGGCAACATAGTGTCGACTTTGCAATATCGTTCGTTTGTGATATTTCTTCCACCACACTTTGCTCTCGCTCTCTTCGCGCGCTCCCAGTGTGTTTTGTGTGTGATAATACTCCATCGTAAAAATTTAGAAAATTGTTGTACGGGTTTTCGGTTTGAATTTCTTTTGGAAATCGAATCGATTTTTGTTCTCCAAACAAATACTCCCCCCACACCACAAAAGCCTTTGTTACACCTGTGGTATCTGTGAACTCTGTGTTAATTGTAAACAGCAGCAGAAGCAACAACAAAAATAAAGTGATTTTTATTTTGGCTTTAAAAATAACGAAATAGAAGGTAATAAAGATAAAGGTCAATATTTGATTTTAAAATTGTTGAATAGGATTTAATTGAAAGTGCTTTTTCTGGGTGATTTCTTAATAATAAATCTTAAAAAGTTATAAGGGAATAACAAAAAAAAAATTATATTTAAGAAAGGCAAGAACTTGAAAACTGAAAAATATTTAAATATTAATTCAAATTCAATATATAGATTTTTTAAAGTTATTTTTTGCGGTGCCCTTAAATTAAAAAAAATATATATATTGTTTTAAAAAATTCCACTAACAAAACAAACTACGGAATCAAATATCGAATGATGTAATCTGGATACATAAAACTATTTTCAAAATATTATTATTATGTAAAATAAGTGATTTTTATCTACAAGTAAAAAAGTAACAGTTGCTTTTTCCGACAGAGGTATAGCCTTAGCCAACGTTCGATTATTTAAATATATTTTGACTTCTGTTATGATTATTTAAACTGTAGAGTAGGTTCCGAAGGAATGGGATGTGCCAGGTTTGGACTATATCGACTATTTCCTTCAGTTTATATGAGACATGTGATAACTGTTAGAAAATATTGAAATGTGCCTGAGGTACCAGATATACAGGCTGAGATAAAAAACTGCAACAAAGTCAAACGCCATAATTTTTACATTTTCTTTTAAATTTTATTGAATGAAAGCAAAAAATGTCGGAAATAGAATCAAATTTTAGAATAAGTTTGGATTTGTTCGAATTGGTCACCTTTGGCACGAATTATAGCCTTCCAACGGTCAATGAAACCGTCACACGATGCCCGAATGTTGCACTGCGCTATTTTGGCCCATTCACGGCGAAGCGCTTGAGGTGATCGAGACTTTGGTATTTTTTTAGTGCCAAACTTGCTTTCCAAAATACTCCAAACACAATAGTCCAACGGATTGGTATCCGGAGATTTTAGTGGCCATTGTGCGCTGGAAATGAAGCGAGGAACCTCATTTTGTAACCATTCTCGGGTGGGGCGTACTGAGTACGATGGTGCTGAGTCCTGTTGGAATATCCAAGGTTTGTGGCCAAAATGTTTGCGTGCCCAAGGTACTCCAGAATATATTCGCGATAATATTCGGCATTTATTCTGACGCCACGCTCGATAAATATGAGCGGAGGGCGACCATAGGCTGTTATGGCGGCCACACCATCACCATGGCCGGCGCTTGAGTTCTAGTGGCCAACCGAAGGTACATATTTTTAGCTGACCTCTTTGGCAAGTAAACACGATCAATTTGTTTGTTTCCAAACTGCTGGACAACGAATGTTTTCTAAACGGTGCGGAGAAAACCAAATTCGGCAGTTCACCACTTTCGGCCAAGCGAGACAACTCTGTAGCTCTTTTGAGTCTATTTTCTTTCTGTTGCGATGTAAGTTCCTGCACGTTTTGGAATTTCAATGGCTTTACCCCGAGCTCATTTTTACAAAATTTTCCGAATAGAATATTGCGATATGTTCAGCTCACAAGCCAATTTTCCGTAACTGCGACGCGGGTTCTGTTTAAGTCGCTTCTTTACTTTTCGAACCATTTCTGTTGATGTTGCTGTTTTCTTCCGTCCACTTCCTTGACGTCGGGCTACGCTACCAGTATCCGGGTAACGAGCGATGGTACGAGATACAAGAGATTTATTCACATTTAAATGGTGGAGTGCTCTAGCGATAGCCACTTGTGGTTTTCCAGCCATATATAAAGAAATCACACTATCAGGCTTCAATTCCATGACGAATAACTTTTTTTCTGGAAAATTCTCACCAAAATTCTCTTGTACACTTGTAAGCAAATGATGAGCTATCACTGGAATAATTTTAATAGCTGTCGGACGTCTGGTTTGAAAATGACAATTTACACATGATTTGGTTTAAAATTGTGGTCAAAAGATTCAAATTATCAAAAAAAAAAAAAAAAACATGAAGGGGTCATACCGAAACGTGGACCGACATGTCCCTTTTTTAATGCCAAACAAAATAATATAAATATCTGAGAAAAATTTCAAAGCGACCGAATGCTTTCCTGAATTATTCTCGGCTTTTGAGGATCTCATCCCCACTGTGCACCGGTGCCTTCTGATTTCCGGTAGCGACATTTTCTTACCCAATTCGCTGCAATTTAGTCAAAAACTTCTCTTGCTAAGATTTTAAAATTTTGGTATACATTTTGATATAAGGCCCATGTATTAGTATCGGCCGGTTTTATTTGCTGCGATTAAATGTTTTGATTTTTTTTTGGGAATTTTATTTAATGTTGACCCATGTAGCGGAGGGCCCCATTATGGACATTTTTAAAATCCTGTCCCTATTTCCTATCATGGTTTTAATTTGGGATTTGGAACGATTAAAAAAAACATAAATGATATTCAATTGACAGTTGTTGACATTTGGAATCATTAGTAATTTTTTTCGACATATATTCATAAATTTTAAGTTTTCTCATTGTGATCCATTAAAACTCAACTCAATTTGTAATTCTTTGAATACATAAAAGTAATAAAATATTCAGCTCTTTTTGGGGGCTTGAAAAACAAAATTAATTAAGTTTTTTTTTATTATTTTTAATTTTCTAAATCAAAATTCAATATTGGAACCCGAGGGCTGGCTAGTATGTTTACCTAATTTGTTTGAAAATTAATTTTATTTAAATATTAAGGACGTAACCTTTATGGCAACAGTTCAAACAGGTGTTGAGGTTAAATAACAAATTATATAGTGGGCTATATGTGAACACCATCAAACCTTCTAAACAGATATGTATGTACATGTATGTGTTCACCTTTACATGTTATGCAGCCAGCCCGCAAGTAGCCACAAACCTGTTGTGGTCGTAGGGAATTCATGGTCCAATGATTTACTGACACCGACAACAGGGAAAGCAGACCAAAAAAAAAAAAAAAAAAAAAACATGGCTGTTTATTATTTGTTGCCAATGACAACAAATTATTTTTAGTTAAACAAGAATTCTAAGGCAAACATAGCGACAAACCTACATACTACCCATAGTGTAGAGTGTAACATTGGGGTAAGTGAGGTGAAAATATGGGAGAAGTGAACACCTTCCTAACTGTTGCCAGAGGTGTTTGGTGGTGTTCGGGCATAATTGTTTATTATAACAAATTTTTGAAATATATTTAAGATTTTTTTGTTCATGAAAATAATAAAATATTCCCATGAGTGGGCACACACAAACACATCCACCTTGTGTGTGTGTGTGTGTGTGTGTGTGTGATGGGTATTTGCATTAGAGCATTCAACCAACCAACCAACCATCCATACATGCAGCCAACAAGGAAGGTAAGGATGGATGGCTGGCTGGCAGGCCGGTCTGGTCTGCAAAGAGAAAGAGATTCTTCTTATTTTGGTTTAAATGTTTTATTGCTGCTGCTGCTGCTGCTGCTGGCAGTTGTTGTTGGTTGGTGGTATGCACACATACATGCATACATTTATTGTGAATTGTCGCTATTTTCAAGGTTAATATTGACGTAAGCATTAGAATATGGTCCGAGACTTACAGACACATGCACATGAATTAACACACAAATTAACACTTGCATTGCTCAGATAAATTGACAGCACACTTTTCTCTTTTTTTTAACAAAAAATCCCTGCTTTTATGGTATTAACGTATCATTCTGGTCATCGCCTCTGTTGTTGTTGTTGTTTTTGTTGCTCTTTATGATATTACATAATTTTAATGAATTCTGACTGGCTGTCGTCGTTGTCTTTAAAATGCCAACAAAAAACAGCAACAAGAACAACAGAATTTTAATGGCAACAGTAACAAGCAAATGCAAAAAAAAACAAGAAAAAGAAAACAAACTTAATCGACCACAAAATCAGCCAAAAGGCAAAATGTCATTTAAGCAAACAAACAAACAAACAAAGCAATAGGACAAATTGGTTGCACTTTTTTTGGGTAGATATACCTTCCGACACACCTGTGTTAATAATCACAGTGGAGTTCAAAATTATGATTCATATTTAAGACAAATTTGTATACTCTTCAACACACTGTGTGATGTACCCACATTTTAGGGTTAAGGCCAAGTAAAACGCCATAATTTTTACATTTTTATACCCTCCACCTTGGAAAGGAGGGTATATTAACTTTGCCATTCCGTTTGTAACATCCTTAAATATTCGTCGTAGACCCCATAAAGTATATATATTCATAATCAGCATAAAATTCTAACGATGTCCGTCTGTCTGTCTGTTGAAATCACAATATAGCCCACATTATTTGACGTAGAGCGCCAAAATTTAGCAAAGCCATTTTTATTGTGTCTAGGATGGTTGGTATTGAAAATGAGACATATCGGTCCACGTTTTGGTATAGCCCCGTATTTTGATTATTTTTTCCAAATTTTTTTACGGATTTGTCTAAAAATTTATATTTGTAGGTCAACTCGAGTCCCTGTACGTGTGGCAAAACATTGCATGTATAGGACCACGTTTTGGTATAGTCCCCATATAACGGTACCTCCCAATATTCGGTATTTTGATGATTTTTGACACATTTCTTTACGGATATGTCTAAAAATTGGTAGTTGTAGATAATAATGGGTCCCAGTTTGTGTGGCGAGTCATTGTAATTATAGGTCCACGTTTTGGTGTAGCCCCCATATAACGGTACCTCCAGATATTCGGTAATTTGATGATTTTTGCCACATTTTTTCATGGATTTGTCTGAAAATTGGTATTTGTAGGTCATAATGGGTTCTAGGTCCTTTGGCAAAACATTGCATGTGCAGGTCTACGTTTTGGTATAGTCCCCATATAACGGTACCTGCCGATATTCGGCATTTTAATGGTTTTTGCCACATTCCTTCTAATGTTTCCTTTACCCTAAGGTGGAGGATGTTAAAAGTTTGGCACGGCCGAACTTAATGTTTTTTACTTGTTTTTTTTTTTTTTAATTTTATTGATTGAAAGCAAAAAATGTCGGAAATAGCATCAGATTTTAGAATAAGTTTAGATTTGTTCGAATAGGTC